AAATAAATAAATAAATACACACACACACACACACACACACACACACACACACAAACCCCCCTCATAGCACCCTTTCCCAAAAAGACAACTACTTACGTGCACAGGATTAGAAAACCAACACACAGAACCAGGCCCTTAAAAAATATAAGGGCAACCCCCTTGGGTCCCCTCCCATTTAGGGGCTTTTCTGTCTTCTTAATAAATATTGCTTTCTCACAGAAATGAATAAATAAATAAAAGATTGGGAAATCAGATCTACTGAATGGAAAACAGCACGTTTCCTCGAATTGATGTAGCGTTTTCCTCCACTGTTCAATAGCTTATGCCTGAGTTGCTCCGTCCTGCTTTCAAGTAATCGTACCCTCTTTCCCTCCAGTCTTCCTGGGCTTCGCGTTTACTACCGATTCACCTAGCAACCAAACACTGCTGGCAAGTGAAAGTTCCAAGCAGCGGTAGGTGAAGACACTTGCGTCCCCAAAATGTTCTCCTGAAATCGGCAGCACTTCAGAAGTCCAAAGAACTATGATCCTTCCCACCACAGACCGGGACTCGCTGTAAGGTCGCGGAACCCGAGAACTATCCTCTGAGCACACGAGGTGTGCTAAGAGCAGGCAGGAACAAGCCTCACCGCGCCCCACCGCGGAAATCCAAAGCTTTTGCGCGACCCGCCGCTGCTCCAAACAATGGAGTTTTCCCGCCTCCTCAAGGCCCCGCCCCCTGCTCCAGAGCCGGCGGAGGGAAGGGAACGCACGCGCGCAAGACCCCGCCCTCCAAAAGGCCCAGCCCACTCCGACCCCCGGGTCCAGCCTCCTTCCTCGTGCTGGGTTTTTTTTTTTGGCGCCAAATCTGTTGGTTATATTCCCGGGCTAACTAGAGACACTCCCTGAGGCGCACGCTAGTAGTGTGAGGACAGTAGAAGCGTGAGGAGACCAGAGCGCAGGGCCCCGCCTCCCTGCCGACAACCCCAGGCCGGGGGAGGAAGGAAAGGGGCAGGAGATGGAGACAGCCGCCGCTGCCCCCGGCAAGATGGCGGCCGCGAAAAGCGGGGCAGGGGGCGCCAGCCGACGGCTGTTGCCGCTGGTGCGCGGAGGTCTCAACTAAGGGGACTTCTCCAGTGTCCAGCCCTCCCCAAACTGCGACAGTTTCTCACGGAGAGGCAAGTCCTCCCGCCCATGGGCCTGCCCCTCCCGCGGAGTCCCAGTCCATCAGCCCTCCCCGCGGACTGGCCAGTGCTTCAAGCTCTCCACCGTCCCGCTTACTTGTCGGCAGAAACCAGCTCCGCGGTGATGGCGGCAGTCGCTGTGGACTCTGTAGCCATCGTTCCCCTGAGGTGGTGAACCAATGGGAGAGACAGAGCCTGTGAGAAAAACCAAAGGAATTTGGGACGCCAGAGACTTACTCGGGGACAGAAAATGGCAGATTGGAGACCCCGCGCGGCTGGGGCCCACTTATATACGAAGGCCCTCGCCCCGCCCATCCACTTCCGGACCCTCCCCCTCGGGTTTAAAGGGCCAGGACTCAACCCCCAGGATCTCAAGGACAACCCCCTCCCTCGCCGTACGGCTCCACAGGGTTCCTTACCTCCCTGGTTCACCTTCCTGAAAAAAAATACAACTTCCTGCTTCCTTAACAAGTCGCGTAAGAAGAACTGGAATCTTGATTACTACAAATCCTGACAGGACTCCAGCCTGCGGCTTCCACAGAAAAGGAAGCCAGGGCTACTCTGCATGTTTGGAGCGAGTAGCCGATGATCTCCTTCCGGCGTGGATACTAGGGAAAGTGACTGAGACTCTCTCCGTCCTCCTAGTCGTAACGGACACACTCAACAGCTGAGCACGGGTACAAGCTCAACGGCTAAAACTGATCTTGGTGAGAGACGCATGGCTCTGGGCCTCAGCAACAACTGACGCAAAAAGATGCCGTTCTAGGATTGGCTACAGCTGAAACCACCGCGCTAGATTCAAAGCTCTGGGCTGCGGCGGGAAGCTGTTGGCTCCTCCCTCCAGATCCTCCCCCTTCGGCTGACCCAATCCGCTGATGCCATCCTCTTAGGCCCCACCTAGATTCCGAGTATCGGTAGTTTAACGCTCCCAACTCTTTCCGTCCACAACTGGCTACGATTTTTGAGTGCCTACTACGTGTGGGGGTATTGTGCTTAGACACTGTAAAGCTATTAGCCGTCTTATTTAATCTTAACAACAACGTTACTAATGAGACTGGTGTTAGCCCCATTTCGTAGAAAAAGAAACCAAAGTTCAGGGAAAGCGTGACTTGTTCAGAAAGTTGCAAGACAAGTCGGTTATGGAAAGCAGTGTGCTTCATTTCCGGCTACTGGCTAACTGAAAGATAACGCGCAGGCTGAAAAAGCTACACTTTCTCACACTTGGAGTATCGTTCATTCCTTTTCACCATGGCCCAGGCTACAGTGATCTAGCTGATCAGTGGTTTTTATTTTCCTTCAGGTCCCGGCACATTGACTGGGAAAGATTACTAGGGAGGATTCTTATTCCAGACTGCCCAGACTCAAGCAGTTTGAAATCTTTAAGGCTATAGAGCTGGACCTGAAAACGCCAATTCCTGTGGCAAAAACGTGGGCTCTCCTATCATTAACTGGGTGACCTGAGCCAAGTTATGTAATCTTCCAGCATTAAACATAAAATTAGGGTAACACTACCCACTTCTTAAAGATATTGTGAGAATTATACGTAATTAGCACTGTATCTGGTTTAAGCTAAGCACTCATTAAATGGCTACAACATGACATGATAACTGGAGAGGATGAGGAGGAGAGAGTTCTCCAGGGTCCTTGCAGCCAGGGCGAAGGCCTGAAAAACCCAGTTCAGTTACTTGTGTGACCCATTCATCCATTAAACTAATATTTATTGAGCACCTATAATATGCAAGGCTCTGTACTAGGTCCTAGGGATGAAAGACACAGTCTCACCTTTGAGAAACTCAGTCTTAGGAGAAATATATATATTCTCTTTTTTTTTTTTTTGAGTCGGAGTCTCACTGTGTTCTCCAGGCTGGAGTGCAGTGGCATACTGCTCATAACCACTACAGCCTCGACCTGCTGGGCTCAGGTGATCATTAACTGGAACTACAGGCGTGCACTACCACGCCTGCCTAATTTTTGATTTATTGTAGTGACGAGGTCTCACTGTGTTGCTCAGGCTGGTCTCAAACCCCTGAGCTCAGGCAATCTGTGAGCCATCATGTTCATCGAAATATATTTTTAAATGGTTTAAATCCATCTACTTCTTTCAGTCTTTATTATCACCACTCTAGCCACCATCATCTCTTGCCTGTACTACTACATAGGCTCTAGTCTATTTTTTTTTTTTTTTTTTTTTGAGTTGGACTCTCACTCTGTCGCCCATACTGGAGTGCAGTG